GCAGCACCGGGGTCGGCATCTTCCGCAGCGGCGGCGGCAGTAGTGACCTCAACCCTTGGCTGTCCATTGACCTGGAGGGGCTGTTCGCAATCAGCCGGATCGTGCTGTACAACCGGCGGGACTGCTGCGGCGAACAGCTCGTGAACGCCGAAATCCGTGTGGGTGGCGCACTGGTTAGCAACAGCCTCACTGCGGCGCAGATCAACCTTAACCAGCTTGTACGACGGGTGGCCGGGGCCAGCACCAGTGGCGCAATCATAACCGTCGAGCTGAGGCCCCCAGTCACAGGCCGCTACATCACCCTTCAGAACTTTGGAAATAATGCTACTGCGCGGGCGGCCAGCCTGCAAGTGGCGGAGCTGCAGGTGTACGGCACGCCAGCGGGGATGGTTCGTACGGCAAACCCGAGTTCGATGTGGATGGGCTCTCGTTGGCTGTGGCTGGGTGGAGTCAGCAGCAGCAGCAGTGTTTCTCAATCATCATCAGTAGGTAGGTGCGTGTACCCGTGTACCTCTTGAGAGTACATACAGAGCACACAATCACTGCCATCTTTACCGTACTACTTCACTTTCTTCACGACATTCAGCTGTTGTGGTAGTGTTGGAAGCAAAGTGATATGATGCCCGCTGCTTAAGGACTGAAAGGCCGTGTGTTGCATGGTGGGGCATATCCTGATTCTGTACTTCTCTGCAGTGGTGACACCGCACCGTGTCAGGTTTCCCTTGCCTGCGATGCTTCACGGCTCACACCGATCTCTGTCCGTTGTACGTGTGCTGCTTTCCCGGGGCCTATCCTATTTACTGACTTACATAATGCTTGGCTCATGTCGTGGTCGGATTGCTCCCAGATTGCTCCCTGCAGCAGCACGGTGCGGGGTACGGCAACAGCGCCCTCGTACTAGCCACCAGCACTCAGCCTGACGCGGGTGCTTGCTGCCAGGCCTGCTTCTCCCGGGTCGATTGCATCCACTGGGACTACACACCTAGCAGCCATACATGCCACCTTAGGCCGGACAGCGGGCCCCGCCTCGACATACAGATGGATGGCGACCGAGTCACAGGCTCTCGTAACGGTAGGTAATAAATGAACGAAGTAAAGATCAACGACGTGTGCTGAAATGTATGTAGCTAGCAGCCGTAGACGCTGCACGCTGTGCTGCTGTTACTGCTGTATGTCTATCTGTTACTGCAGTTGCCGCAGTATGTGTGTTAATGATACTGCTACTTCAACCATCTATACTTGCCACGTGTACTTCATATTGCTGCATGTTAGTTCGTACCATCTGCCTAATGTTCTTGCTACTTCACCCATTAATACCTGCCACGTGCTGCTTCATGTTAGTTCGTACCATCGGCCTGCCCTCTCGCATGTGTTTCCCTTTCCTTTCCCTGTAGTAGCTGTCGTGCAGTACGGCACACACCAGCTAGTACACATGCAAGCAAAATGCTAGCATCTCGAGAGGCCGTTTCCGCGCCCAGTTACCCCACTACCTGCACATTCCCTTGAGCACATTCCCTGAAAACATCAAACATTACATGCCAGCAAATGCATGTGTGTTCACGGTTAACTTCCCCTCCTTCCCCAACAACATGCCGGTACGGCACATCTACTGTGCGTGCGTGCTTTATCATGGTTCGTGATGGCGCATTTGTGAAGGTGTGAGCACATACATCAACCATCCCCGGCTCACACATGGCGGCTTCCCGGTCGACACAGAGGTCAGGTGGATCTCGTCACTGCCCACAGCCTTCGTGCCGTTCGGTCAACGGGTCATTGCGTCCGCCTGGCAGTCAACCACCTTCTACCGGACCTTCTGGCTGTCAGCGGAGCAGCTACAGCAGCAGCAGGCTGCCCTTGGAGGTGTTGTGACAACGCCCGTTCTCAACCTCACCATCATTGCGGACGACCTTGCGACTGCCTTCGTGAACGGTCAAGAAGTCGGCCGTACAGCCGTGTTTCCAGAACGTTCTGTCCTGCAGGTCTCGAATCTGCGGCCTGGCCCCAACCTGGTTGTGTTGCACTGCAACAGCACGGGGGGACTGCCCGTGGTGGCGGCCTCCCTGGCCTTTGGGGGGCCTGACGGCTCCGTGCTACTGCAGACGGATCACACTTGGAACTGGCTGTAGCGTGCAGAGGTGCATGTACGTGTCAAAGTACGTGTGTACGACTGTGACTGCAGAGTTGGTTGGCTTTCATAATCGTGCCTGATGAACACCTGTGTGCATTTTCCTGCATATGTTTTGGGGCACCCTCATCCAATCATCCCACGCATAACAATGTTGTTGGCTGGATGTGGATGTGGTGGTGTATTGTAAAAGAATTTAAACAGGGGCCAAGGGACTGCGTGTTATACCACGACTTTAGAAAAGTACCTATTGGCGGATGGGGGTCTAGTGATATGACATAGGCTAGGCACGACTGGTAGATCACACAGCAATGCTAACAGAAGATTCCGGGATCGAGATATGTCAGGGTCGGAAATCCTACTGATGGTGGAGGGTAAAATTGCCCCTAGTCGATGGACGGTGGTGACTTGGAAGAAAGTGATTGTGCGAACTGACCAGAAATGGAGTTAAGTCGTCGTTAATCTGACAGATTCCGTTGGATGCCGGTGGTGGGTGCTGAACCTGAGCGAACCACTGAGAAGTTTACAAGGGCGAATAGATGAGGGTGCGCCGAAATCCCGGGGAAAGCAGGGTCTGCCGGGTAGTGACTGCAGGGTTAACATATGACCCCCCTGTCCCACACATCATACTACACCGCGTGAGGGCCCCCGGCGGCCAGGAGGGCCCCGATCGGATCGACAATTTGTTAAATTGTTATGCTGATCATAATCCATCTACGTTAGGCACTACTGGTAGAGCATGCACCAATGCCCCCGGAGATTCCGGGTTCGAGACCTGTTCGGACCGAATATTTCTCCGGTAATGGAAGGTAGCTGTGCTTCAAATCGATGGTTCCTGGTGACACGAGTGGAGTAACCTTAAGAGCTGACCAGGAATGGTGTTGAGTCGCCATTGATCCGGTAGATTCCATGGAATGCCGGTGGTAGGTGCGGAACTTGAGCGATCCACTGAGAAGTTGACCAGGTGAGGGTGCCCCGAAATACCGGGTCTGCCAGGTACCGGTCGCAGGGTGAAGATATGATTCCCCTGTCGCACACATCATACTTGAAACCATTAGCGGTGGTTGGCTGCCTTGGGATATGAATTAGACGAAAATGTACGGCTAATTGGTTTTCTATTGTCGTGATGTCATAGCATCTGATCGTATATTACTGCCAGGTATATGATACGTGCAATGGCCTGCTGTAGTAGCTGGCCGCTGAAAAGGCCTCTTGATATGCTGGTGGAGCGCTTAGCGCATATATGTATTTGTCATGCGTGCCGTACTGTATACCAGCTACTATACCTGCCGTACTATACCAGCTACTATACCTGCCTACTATACCTGCCGTACTATACCAGCTACTATACCTGCCCGTAAACACGATTTCTACGGGCATGTTGTCAATCGCGTCAATCGTGTTTATGTGCATGCATGCATGCATGCATGGCAACCGCTTCAATGGTAGAGCGTAAGCCTCCCTTCCATGGCTCCTTTCCTGCTTTCCTCGACACCTGCGCCATTGGTCAGCCCTTGCCTACCGGCACCCTTGGACTTCCGCCTCGTCTCATCGTGTAGGCTCGTCGAACGCCTCTGGGGGGTAACGGATGGTGTTTGTAACGCATACACACCTGTGTATATGCACATGTGCATGATATCCATCCAATCGAACATCCTGCCTCCAGTCCGCATTAAGATTCAGGAGGACAAGTGTGCCTGCTGTTACAACAAGCCTTATTATGAGACTAATCTGATATTGCGGGGTTTGGCTGCACCGCGGTAGGTCACCGACCCACAGCTGTCCCTGTGGTTGATGTTCTGAGCCTCTTCCTCTATTGAAGGGACTCCCTTACCATTGCGTGAATACAATCTTGTGTCACGAGTTGTGCTATTGTAATAATTTGCAGGCCGCAGCGTTTGCAGCTTTTGCTCGCTGCCGCCGCCGAACGAACGGCATTTCATCATTTTGCATCATATCCGTAGGATAGTTACAGCTCGAAGGACGGCGGAGCCGCACTAACATGGTATGAAACCTTGCAGATGTGTCATCGATCGTCCGCCCCTCAGGTCAAGGTTTGGGTTTCATGGACGGCCGGGAGCAGGGACGCCATCATCAGGGTAGAGCTCAGAAACTCAGGATGGAACCGAGCGAATGCATAATGAACTGCAATTCATAGAACACATATGTGTGTACCAGGTAAGCATATCCATACAATGCTCCGAGCCGGGGGGTGTTTTTCCAAGCAAGGTAAGGCGCAACAGCAACTATCTTGATGTCAAAAATCTTACAGTCTGGTGAAGTTCTTGTGCTAGTATGGCTTGACTGACGTTTTCCTTTCGCCTTTCCTTTTCTTCTTTCCTTTGCTAGGGTAAGGCGGTTCACGAGCCTTTGGTTCATGACCAGAAACAAAATGAAACATGCTATTTGCTCAAGTTCACGTTCGTTGACCCTGAGTATGACTTATCCAGATCGCCCTAGGTGTGCCTGCAACGTTACCATTCTTCTACAACCTTAGTTGTTGCGGACGAAAGCTCTCGCGAAACTTAACAAAAAAATTATTTTTACTTTTACAGATAAACTGCGTTATGACATAACGATATCGTTTGCGATATCGTTTTCACATAACGGTTATGTGAAAACGATATCGCAAACGATATGATCTTGTGTTGACGCTTCGTGTGACAGGCCCTTGGAAACAGGAAAGGCTTCCAGATACATCCAATACATATAATACGGTTTGGCATAATCATGCATATATAAGCTTTTCACTGGAAAATGTCAAACGACGAAAGTCGCAACCAGGCGCAATAGGGCTGTAACTATCTTGGGCAACTGTAACAGCAGCTGAAACGGATACAGGGTGGGTAAATTGCAGTTAGAGTTAGTGTATTTCAGACAGGTGCCGGCCATCATGGGCGGACCTCGAGACCGAGCCGACGTATATTGCGGCAACAGCACAGCCACCATGCGCGCCCTCATTACGGGAGGCAGCGGCTATCTGGGATTTCGCCTTGGGACCGAGCTCGCCAAGCAAGGCATCGAGGTGGTACTTCTGGACATCGCCCGCCCCGCACAGGCTCTGCCTGCCGGCGTGCATTTTTTTCCTGGCAGCGTCGCCGATGCAGCCGCGGTCGATGCAGCATTTACCTCTTTGCCCGGGTCCATAGATGCAGTCTTCCACGTCGCATCGTACGGGATGTCAGGGCGGGAGCTCCGAGACCGCTCCAAAATCTTCTCCGTTAACGTTGGTGGGACACGCAATGTGATTTCATCTTGCTTACGCTACGGCGTGCCCCGGCTGGTCTACGTGTCTACCTGCAACGTGATCTTCGTGGGCAAGTGAGAACGCGTGTCATCAGCAAACGCAAAAAAGGGGGACCCGTTGAGGGCATGAGCCCGCCCCGTGCATGTTTGTGTGTCAAGCATAAAAGCCATAACTAGGTTAGGCACTACTGGTAAGGCACGGACCATTGACCCCGGGAGATCCCGGGATTGAGACCTGTCAGGGTCGAAAATCCTACCGATGGTGGAAGGTAAAGTGCCCCTAGTTGATGGTGGTGACCTGGGATAAAAGAAACCTGCGAGCCGACCAGGAATGGAGTTGGGCCGCCGTCGATCCTGCAGATTCCGTTGGATGCTGGTGGTGGGTGTGGAACCTGAGCGATCCACTGAGAAGTTGGCTAGGGTGACTGGATGAGGGTGCCCCGAAATACCGGGGAAGGCAGGGTCTGCCGGGTATTGGCCGCAGGGTGAAGATATGACCCCCCTGTCCCACACATCACACATCATAAAAGCCCTGATGTTTGTCCCCCTACCTGCGAACCTTACCGTCACTTCCAAATATCCGAATCTATTCGTCTTCTATGTCGCATCGCCCGTATAGCTCAGCATGCACGCAAACACCATACCTAGGCCGCAAATGCATGGCCCTGCCCTCCACGCCCGCGTCCTCGCTTCATGAACAAACACCCAATGAGCATCGCCAGCCCTCCAAGCCAACAGACTTTCAAAGCTCAACTCACGCCCTGGTCTACTTTCCAACGCGTCACCAAACCCAGATCCTGCTCCCTCACCCAATGCCATCCCAAGGGCACGGCACGAAACCCGCGGTCTCCCCGCGGGCTCTGCACCTCGACCTGCCCCAACCCCCCTTCACATCGCGTGTTCGCGTTGATGCCACCTTCGAGAAGCTTGAGCAACTTGTTCCGCAAACTTCAAATCCCGTTCCACGTTTTTCTTGTTTTTTCCACTCTACAAGGCCCATAAGTGGCGGCGACGAGACGGCGCCGTACCCGCCACCCGCCGCCTACAAGGACGCCTACAGCTCTACCAAAGCCCAAGCGGAGAAGCTGGTTCTGGAAGCCAACGGCCGGCAACTGCTTTCCATCCGACAGCAGCAACAGCGACAACAGCAACCAACGGCAGAGGAAGACCAGCAACATATTCAGCGACAAAAACAAGGAAACTCCGAAGCGCAACGAAGCAGCGGCACGAGCGCGCCTAACGAAGCGTCGCGACTTGGTGAAGGAGGTGGCGATGCTTCCACACCTTCACCTGCACCTTCACCGGCGCCTGCACTAGAGGTTGGACGTGGGATGGAGCTTGGCCCTCCGCCCGCACGGATTGGCCAGACAGCCAAGTCATCATCATCATCATCATCACCATCTGGTCCTGATCCTGGCGCTGCTGCTGCCGCTGCTGGGTGTGGCGGGCGGCTGTACACGTGTTGCATCCGTTCCACAGGCATTTGGGGTCCAGGGGAGACGCGCCACCAGCCGCGGGTAATCCGGATGGTGCGTGCGGGTTTGTTCCAAGCGACATTCGGAGAACCTTCTAGCCTCAGTGACTGGTGAGGGGTGTCCTGGGTTTGAGCACCGGGTATGTACTGGGGGGGCTTGATAGGGGATGGAGGAGTTTTCTTTCGGCTTCTTGTACATGTTCTTCTTGAGATTTTAGACTTGGGTTTATTTCGGAATCTAAAGCTCGAAATTCAAAAAAAAATATATATATATATATATAATATATATATATATATATATATAATATATATATATATATATATACAAGAAGCCGTATGTGTGTCGATGTCGATGTGTCGGTGCTCGTCTCGGTGCTCGTCTCTGTCATAAGCCAAAACCAATCGTTACGTCAGTGAAACAGCAGCAGCTGGCCAACTAGGATGTCTAGGATGTGATGTCCAAGCAAATATATAGTTACACACCGCAGTGCCAGCGGGGTTGCATCAATGCCAAGCTTTCCCGTAGAGTATGGTCATATGGTCTGTGTCGCGCTCTTGATAACCGTTGCGTTGTCGATACAAAGGAACATCGTTTACAGCTTCTAGGCTGCGTCTCCATCGTTCTTAATGCCGGCGTGACTATTCCCGTGCCCTAGCAAACCCCCGATTGCGGTGTTCTCGGCGGTTCTTTCCCACAGGATTTATGTTGACAACCTGGTTCAGATTCTGGTCCTAGCCGAACGAGGGCTAAGAATAAGAAAAGAGCAAGAAAGCGCACAGCAACAGCAGCAGGAACAGCAACAGCGGCACTTTGTGGTTGACGGCAATGGTGAAGGTGACGGCTGCGGCCTCGTCGGCGGTTGTGACGGCTCAGATCGGTCGGTACCAATTGCGGCCGGGCAGGTCTACTACGCCTCCGACGGCGAGCCCATTAACAACTTCCTGCATGTAAGTCTGCTACCTACAAGTTACAAGCTCCACGCACAAGTCCGGGGGTCTCCGTAAATGCCGGGGGCGCCATGGACGATATACTGGTACTGGTGTGGCTGTACCAGGTCGCGTGTGGCGCTGTAAACATGGAGGAGTTTTTGCAGAGGCACACCAAACGTCCCTCAGCGTTTTTGACACTAGTACATCCCCCCGGCATCCCGGACAGAGGGTCTGTTCCGGACCCTCCTTCATCACCTCTTCATGTTGCAGAGAGTGTGTGCGTGTCTGTGTCTGCGTGTGTATATGTATCTGTGTGTGACTTGAATGAGTTATAGGGCTGTACCTGCTTCATCTCAGGTACAGGAGGCACTTATATTTGAAATGTCGGTGTCGGTGTCGGTCATCATCCCCCGTATTACGATGTACAGCTTTCGTCCCACAGTCGGCACCTGCCTGCTTCGCCTTTGGCTCACCCTGAGTGTTACCTTCTCGTTGTTTCTTTCCGTCGACTTCCTTTATCCTTTCACCTGCCCTACCCCGCCGCGGTGTGGCGGTATTCACTTCTTCGCCTAGGATAGTTGTTTCGCACCTTCTGTTTTCACCTCAAGCAGTTTTTGTTTGTGCTGTGCTCTCTCACTTCCCTTCCCTAAAACGCAGTTCAAGCCCTTCATTGTGGGGCTTGGATACCGCTATCCCTCCCTCAACGTCCCCTTCGCCTTGGTGTACGGCATTGCGTGGCTCATTGAGTATGCATGGCCACTGCTGAGTCACCTCGTGGCGGACCCGCCGCTGACGAGAATGGAAGTTGATAAGTGCTGCATTGAGCATTGGTTCGACATCAGCAAGGCTCGACGGGAGCTGGGCTACAAGCCGATAGCGTACGATAGGGCGGAGGTTGTACGGGATATGGCGGCTGCAGGTTGGGCGGCAGCGGATGCGCGCAAAACCACTGCGGGCCGGAGGCTTCTGGGTATGAATTTAGCGATGCTGCCAGCCGTGGTGCTGGTGGTGGCTTTGTTCCTGGCGGCAGTGTACGGCGTAGGTCGCGGAACCGTACGGCAACAGTAAAAAGCCTGGCGGCGGCAGTAGTGAGCCGCGTCAATAGAGACTTAACCTTTTCGAATTGCCTGGATTTTGCCTTGTATTGAAAATTGTCCCTAACCTGGTCGATATAATGTACAACTGCAGACATGTGATTGCTGTTTATTCACCTCTACATACCGTCGTTGTCCGCGTTGCTGTGTAGCCCGAATGCCGTGTGTATTCTTCTTTGCTTTTCCACGAGGTTGTATTGTTTTCGCGGTGCGGTAACAATGATATCTTGCGATGTAGTGGACTTCAATTGGATCCTTAACCCCAAGCGCCATACTCCATATTCCTGTTACTGCTCCCATGCTCCGTGCTCCCACTGTCGCGGAGCACCTGCTTAGTCTGGGGACCCGCCGCTCCGAGGGGCATAACGGCGGCAAACCCTAGGTAAGGGGATATATTCCCCAGCCCTTTGGTACCTTGCCTTGGCGTAGTAGGTTCCCATCATATTAATGTAAGATGGGAGAAGCCTAGACCAAGTCAATATCAAAGCAGGTCTGTCAATTTTCAATGTAGCTGGGCGTTTGCTCGGCAGGCGTTTGAACGGGCAGGACAGGATGTCTAATTGACAAGTTTACCGCATACATGGATGAAATATGTAGGTATTGGTGTTGTTGGTGTTTCAGGTTGCGACGTTGCGCCGTCTCCCACCGAACCTGCGTGTGACCTATACACCGGACGCTACAACGCGCGTAATGGCAGTCCGATAGGACGAGCTTATGAGCCCTCACCGAGGCAGGCCCTTACACCCTTACCGGACCCCTCACAAGCCCGAGCACATGGTATGCGCTGTCGCACGACATGGATAAGTGTGCATGAGGCAGCAGCCTTTCCATCCCAACCTTCCGCAGCTCAATTTCGCAACCTGAATTTTTTTCATCATACCAAAAGTCCGCCACTGATGAGGATTCGCTGTCAAGATTCAACACCTGTGCGTGCAACGCACAGCACACAACCGTCCTTCGTAGGTCCAGGCTCAATCCCCATAAGTATAAATTAATGCCTGTCGGCAGCTCTAAAAATCCACCAAGCATCATGCACCAAATATAGATAGATAGATAGATCGCCCTTTGCAGCAGTGCTCTCCTGTACCCCGTAGCCTTCACTGGCCATCATCATAAAATTTGACGTGGTTAAGTCACATATCCTGTTTCCATTTTCCATGCTGACACTCGGAGAGAAGCAGGCAAGAGTGTCGACTTCATGCTCTCCTTGGCGGCGGACAAGGGTCACTAAGAGCCTACGGCTTACGTGGACCGGCTCACCTGCATTACCCCATGCATGTGGGATAGCTACCCAGGCATTCTCTCATCGCACAGATGGCGCAAGGCACCAGGGTTAGATCCGTACACACACAAACACAAACACACACATGCCAACACGAATACATGCACGCATATTCACTCACATTTACACTCACGCGCACACAGCTACATGTGGGACCGAAGAGGACAATCAAACTCAAACTACCAATGGCAGCATCGGATCGCATCCTTAAGAGTCAGCTAGTCAGCTTAGAGCCGGCGGGGCGATCCCATCCATCTCACCAAGCTGTCCACTTCCCTCCCTTCATCCATTGCCAAGGACCCACATCGCCCCGTCTGTGGGGTCTCCGATCTCTAAGGATAAGTAAAAGCATCTTTCTGCTGGCACTTCGGAATTGGTAACACGGAGGCTCTGGAGAAAGCCGCCTTCCATTCCGGCCTCGAGCTCAGGTCTAAACCTAAACTTTTGCGCAATGCATCGAAAAATGTTGAAAAGGAAAGAAACGAACCTCATCCCGTGCAGCCCCACGAAAATCTGCCAACGAAAATTCACGACAGGAGCAAACTGTCCGCGGCAAAGGGCGGCGGTCTGACGCGTACGCATCCCTGTGAGACGTGCCCTACTGCCTCAGATTAGTACAGCGACCCAGGTTCCTTAAACAATATCACCACCACCGCCGCCGTTGCCGCCGGATTGAGCGAGCCAGTCGGCTTATTTATAACTCTAAGACAACGCTGCACCAAAAGACCTCTCAAGCTGCGGCTACGACCGGCTCGGGCGCCGCCGCAGTAGCAGCAGCGGGTGCGGCCTCTGCCTGAGCTCGCTCCTCTAGGAACTTCTCTGCCACCGCCATGTCGTCCGGGGTCGTCACTTTAATGTTAGTATACGATCCAGGGGTAATCTTGACGGGTTTGCCCATCGCCTCGATGATGGACACATCGTCGGTAACCTCCAGGTTCTGGCTTTTGACCAGGTCAAACCCTTCGCGGAGCAATGCTGGCCGAATGCACTGCGGCGTCTGAACCTCCCACAGCTTTGACCGCTGCAAAGTCTTGATCACCATAAGGTCCTTATCAACCTCCTTGATGGTAGGTTTGACCTGCACGCCCAACACCGCAGCGCCGACTACCAAGCCATCGGACATGCACTTGGCAGCATCCGCGGGTGTCACCAGCGGCCGCGCTGAGTCGTGAACCGCGACGATAGCAGCACCAGCATCCACTTGTTGAAGACCATTGAATACTGAGTCCTGGCGCTCAGGGCCCGGAAGTGCCCACTTAAACTTCATGTGGGATGGCAAGCCGGGGAAGCGCTTCTCAAAGACGTCACGCCAGGACGGGTCGCAAACAATAACGATTTCCCCAACCTCCGGCATCCGCGCGAAGGTTTCAAGCGAATATGTCGCGATGGGCTGGCCACGAAGTTCCAGATACTGCTTTGGGATGGCCGCACCCATGCGCTTGCCAACTCCACCAGCAAGAAGCACGACAGAGATTGAACCCTTCTCAAGAGTTGCGGCGACTGACCCACAAGCCCGCACAATTAGCATGGTCCGACCTTCGCGCCCTGGTGCCAAGCGATGAGAGCGCCCAGCGGGTCTGGCACAGCATCGAGCGCTGCTAAAGGGAGCAGTTCCAACGCGCCCGCATGGCTTTGCACGTTCGATGCTACATAATTCCAGCCTGCTGCGTACAGCGTCGCACCTCAGAACCGATCTTTGCATTTTGTATATAGAGCGGAAAATCAAATGTAGCGCTTATTAGTATACTGAATTATTTTTAGACGATACAGGTTGTTTGCATTGCATGCTAATTCGGAAAAGCGTTACCGAAATGTCGTACGGATCTACTGCCAAATGACATTCTACACGTGCACCTTGCTTGCAAACAGGTAAGGTTTGGATGAGGATAACGGTCCCCAGGAAGAAGTGAAGCTGTGTGCATGTTTGGCCTGCGGGTCGCCTGGGAAGATGCCCAGACTGAGGGTGTTCACATACTGGCTGGGCACGATTAGCCCAGAACAAACTCCAATGCCCCGTTGCATCTTTCCTGCTTAAGGGGTGTCTGCTGAAGATGGGGCACGTGTACAGCGCTGCAGCTGCCATGTCGTATCGTGCATGGTACGTTCGTACGTACTGCTGCTGAAGTACCCTGGGAAAACCCTGAAGTCCTATGGGAGGGAGGGTGTCTTATAGCCACGATGGCCATTTACATGCCTTTCCGCTGTTCCCGATGTTTCCATGCTACCACCTCACGCTTGGTTTCAGGGTTCCGCCCCTGGTTGGTCTGCTTGCCGGAGAGGAGTTCCTTTTTGTGGGTCACAAAGGATCACAATGTACTCCTGCTTCCACGGTTCACAGGCTGCAACGGTTTCCATCCCGGCGGAAACCAGCTTCGTGTAAAATAACAAAGATAACAGCCAAGAAAGCCCAAGTCAAGCCGGCGTTATCGTCGAGCCGAAATTCGAATAGAAATTTACTAGTCCTGGCCAAAGCAAGGTGAATTCGCGTGCATAATACAATGAGCTGAGGCAATAATGAATACCTTAACGCCCGTGCGCCCGTTTCATACAGCCGTCACGTCAGGTCAGGAAAAGCAGGTCAACGGCGGGTACCTAAAGTGTAGAGCAGTCGTTCTTGCCATACTCATCTCAAGTGCTACGGCGAGCAGGTAGTATCCCTAACAAAAAATAATCTAACCCAAAAGATGTTGTCCATATGAGCGAGTTGGTTTCAATCTCGTCCTGCCTAGACCTGCATCGCGGGAGACACGACGCAAAACAAGAGATGACATCTCCTGCATCCTGCGAACAGACCCGCAAAGGGAGGATATGCCGGTTCGTCAATTCGCACCAACGATCCACACAGCACCACATTGTGACGTACAACCCACTGCACCGGCCCCTGGCACAGCCTGCCTAAAAATCAATGTACGCAACTTCACATCCAGGAGACCCGCACCGCACGCCTGACAACCCAACTTTGGCTATAATGAGCATTGGAAAATCATCTGCGCTCTGAAGCACAATATTGATACTTCAAATCGCGGCGTACAGCTCCATCCTAACCCCGATGTGTCCGTGCTAAACCTTGCAGTTCTCACGTACGGAATGTAGAGCCCACTCCCCTAAAAAATAAACGCACATTTGCAGCTCGGATGCAACGTCTGCACCACAGCATACAGATACGCATATCAGTTCCTCGCAACGCCGTCCAGCAATATTACGCACATCCATATCATGCGCTCACATCCCTGCCGTTGGCTATGTCCACGTAACGAGATGCCTGTTTTGGTGCGGGAGGCGACTTGGCCGTGGTCTCCCGACCCGCACACCCCACACGCTGCCTTTCATCTGCCATCCTACCGACATAGATGGTGCTGCATAATCCGAAGTCTACTAGGTGGGGGCTCGGGGCGTGGATGGTGACCCGGGCGTCCATCACGCGGGAATTGAAAATGCGGCGCTGCGGTTTGGCCCCCTTCCCGACATGCTACTGTCTACAACCGCACAACAACGTCGACACCTTTCAATTCCCGATTAGAAGGGACCTTCGGGGGACCTACATTCAACGCCCCAACCCCACCACGAGGGCAAGTAACCCCCAAAGCAGTCGCTCGCCATCCGCCAATCCGCCAGCATCTCGCCGGCACAAGCACCCACAAGACTCACGTGGAGCACCCCCCCCTCCTTCTGCCATGCAGAGTAACAGAAAAAAACTTCCAAACCGGAGTCGGTGCCGCCGGGACACTCCTACCGCAACCACAGCCAACGTAGGCATGCCGTCGCCGTCCTTACCCCCCGCACGTGCTCAAAAGAGCCCAAGTACATGCCTGCTGCAAGGGACCTACATCCCCTAACGACACGCAGCTGCAATGATACCATCCACCCATGCCGTAACAAATACATCGCTTGGCTGTTCCTTTCCCCCCCAGCGGCGCATTCGACACACGCTAGGCGTCCCCCCCCCTCCCGCACAACATGGCCGGGGTCGAAACAAGCGTCCACGCAACCAGAGACACCGCCAACAATATCCCGTGCCATTGCAAACAGGCAACCCGCCAGACCTATTTGATGTCCCCATGGGCCAGTAAAAGCCAATACTAATTGCCCCGTACCAGCGACGAAAGGCGTTGCAGGGCCCCTCCGCGGTCCTGGTCCTCCCTCCCAGAGTTATCCCCAAATAGCATCGCCCAGTGCCGGTTGTTTTGGGCGTCTTCCTTTTGGGAGGTTCTCAGACGTTCTGTGGCGTGCTTGGGGTTGGACGCGGCGTCGCTGCCGGCCGCGGTGGACTTGGCGGCGTCGGCGGGGGGAGGTTGCGGGCGCTCCCAGAGCCAGGTACGCACCTCATCATCTCGACCCGCGGTAGCGAGGTGTGTGGAGTCCTGGCTGAACGCCACAGAGCTCACCTATTACAGTTTGCAGATAACGGGTGCAGGGGATGGGGGAAAACATGTCGGAATGGCTCAGGAGGACAACGTGGAGTGTGCGTTGCGTCACAGGTATTGGTGAACCATATTCTTCGAATGGGTTCGGGGCAATAGCCAACAGGGGCATTAGCCAAGACCAAGCCTGTAAAACGCCTGTACGCCTCACAGCTGCTGCATGGGTGCGTATTGGCTTGCTGCACGTGATGTGGTTGCGGTCACAAAAGCAGGTTAGGCTAGCGGATGCTGTGCTGGTGTTGTGCGGAAGGGCTCAGCACGCGGTGTTGGTGGCCAGGTGCGCGTTGGAGATCAGAGACAGCGGACAGGCATCCACGGCAGGAATCTAGGGAGAGCCAGGGCGGACCAGGAAAGGGCCCACAAACGTGGGATGGGATGGGCCGACTCTTCTGACGTGCGGCTACGGCTAAGAGAATCGTGGCAAGGGTACAACAGCGCAACGCACTGCTTTAACATGAAGAAAGAAATACACCCAAACGCTGAGCCCCCAAACCCTGAGCCCCCAACAACTTACCATGTGCCGGTGGCCCTGAATGGTGGCGAGAGCCAGACCCGAGGTGGCGTCCCACATCTTGACAAGGTTGTCGTATCCTCCACTCATAATCGTACTACCATCCGAGCTGACAGCGCACGACAACACACCGTACGCCCCAGTGTGTGCCGATAGAGTGGCAAGTTCGTTGCCGTTGATCAAGTCCCACACACGCAACGTCTGTGGAAACAGGTACGGGCGGAGAATGCAGCGCAAACGGAGCCGCAATGCAAACAAGTTCATAAAAAAACTACAGACGAACGACTTGGTGGTGGCGACTGTTTCGGTGGTGGTGGCTCATCAAGAAGCCACGAGCCAGAGGAGACTAACGGATCCAGACAACGCTCAAAAAGAACTTCCAAGAAGTTCCAAGAAGCGGCTTGTTGGTCGTGTAGGCTTTTCCCCGCGTCCCATCGGGGATGGCACCCGAGTTCTCGTAACGGCGCTTCTGGCTGCCCCGGCGCCAATATCACCCACAACGGTTATTTATTGCAGATATGGGTGTCGGACATAAAAGACGCCGACCGATAAACCTAAGCCAATACCAGGTGTGGGTATGGGGATTAAGGGGCCTAAAGCCCCACCCAAATGCCAATCCGTCACCACAGCTCTTCACACCCAACTCTTCACGTGCCCTCGTACTTGGGCGCTCCTCCATGAAATGATGCGATCACCTTGCGCTCATGCGACCACAGGCATTTCCCACCAGACGCCCCTCCCCGCATTTGTTGCCTTTTTCCCATTTTCTCGCTACAGCTGGGCCCCTAATACTGCCCCCCCCCATACTGCTGGCCCCCATACTCTCCCTCCCACTCACCCTATCATGGCTGCCTGAAACCAGGAAATGGCCGTCCGGTGCCACCGCCAAGCAGCTCACGGGGGCCTTATGGCCCTGCGCAAGAGTTGGAAAGGTTGTCGATAACCACAACAGGGAAGGGAAATCAATGAGAACGGTTCGGATGAGCAAGGTGTCAAGGTGCTAGGCAAAAACCGTTCGGGTGACCTCAGCCACAAAACAACAACAATAATGAGAAAATAAAACAACAATAAAAACATAAGGACGAAACACCAGTGGCGACAGACGACACCCGAATGGCTGTATTGCTCACCCCTGTTGCATCAGCCCCGATTAAAAAGTTTATCCCGATTGGAGTCATCCAATTAGGACCACGTTATCGCAACCACTCACGGGATAACCTCGTCAGCAAATCAACACAGACTAAACGGAGGTTGGCTGGACTGTTCCACTCAGCCCGCCAGGCGGAACGGTGACTTACCCTGAGTGCTCGCTTACACTCGCCCGTAACGAAGTCCCACACGAAAATGACTTTATCAGCACCGCTGCTCATGATGCGCCGGCCATTGGGAGTCACAGCCACCGTGCTCACTAAGAATGGCAGAGACCGGCAAAAGCGGGGGGGGGCGGCATTGGGGTCAAGGTATAAGACAGGGATGTGGACGGTAAACAGGAAGAGATGAAAATGGGGTCATAGGCACAAGAGGGAAAATGCGGCTTAAAAGATAAACTGATTATACAACGATTATACAAAGGTTATACATTAAGGTTGTTTCGCGAGGACACGAGAGGGGGCCGGGGAAAAGCGGCAACCACCACACGGCCAGCTAATAGATGCACGATGATGCCAAGACGCCCCTACCCGAGTAGGACCGTCCACGGAATAATTAAAAGATACATCTAGTCCATGGACCCCTCCCGGCTTCGACGGACACCCCCCGCCGCATTCATGCGGAACTTGTAACTTGTAATTAAGACACAGCTGTCCGTGCAGCAGCATTACGTCTTAGAATGACGTATCATTACCATCATTTGGGAACCACCGTACCGCGCATGGACCAAGCGGAGCAGCCGATTCGCAAGAATGCCACCCGACCATCCCCTCTCGTTCAAAACAGCGCGGTCTGATGCGCCCCCCCGCCTCACGAGAAGGTAGCTTTTGGGGGTTTTTTAATATCAGCACCACTCAGCACCACATGTGGGGGAAAACATGAGCGGGTCGTCATCCCCCTGGTGGATCAGCTGATCCTGATCCTGTGGGCCCCCCAAGGACCTTCAACACTACGACCTCCACCTGTCGACCCTGATGAGGAGCAGAGGTCCGACAGCCGATATGCTTTGCCGGAAAATCTTTTCACCTGTTGTACCGACATATATAATATGGAAGTACGCATCGCCATAATTGCGTCAGACATGAGACATTACTTCCCTCCGCGCTGTCCACCTACACCCCTCAGCTACACTATCGGAGAGACACGGATGGAGATACCCAGAGGCAACCTCGGTAAGATATAACGCCGTTTTGTACTGAGTACCGTCCGCACAGCGGCAGCTGCAGCAGCAGCAGCATCAACTGCGCAATCACCTCACATACACCTACCAAGGGGGTTATACGGCTATCAGAGGGAGAAGCTGTATCCCGCGGGACTGGGTTGCTCGCTGCGTTTGACCCACACTCCTCCCCCTCTCGCACTAGATTTGGTTTACCACTGATTGCATTTTGCAATCAAATGCCGCTGGCTGGCTGAATACTACATACTATAGGGACATGGGACTTGGGGAGCCCTCTGGGCTCCCCAAGCCCCCAGCCAACCAACCACCCAGAACCCAGAGCCCTACGCCCTTCGCTGTTCTCTTTCCTTTCCCAAAAGATAGGATTTTGCAATTAAAGCCGCAACCCCACGCGTAAGGGGTTCGTGTGGTTCGTGTGAATTGGATAGTCGTCCATGGGGCCCCCCAAGGCGTTTACAGACGGGCCCCCCCCAACCGCATTCGTGCGGAGCTTGTTGAATATTTACCTTCTGTCAGACCTTTGCATTCTCTAAGATGGAAAAGGGGAGGCGAAGCGCAAAACCCAGATCGCGCCGCTCCTTGCAGTCGTAATGCAGTCTTCCTATAGGGCCCGTATGGAGCAGTCTCTTGGGCAGCCTCTTTTCACTCCCCCCATCAGTACCTTCGCCTTACCTTCGCCTGTGTGGCCCCGCAGCGTCGCCATGATATAGCCTGTGCAAACGTCCCATACGCGAACCGTCTTGTCGGCGCTTCCCGTGATCAAGTACTTTGAATCAGGGGTAGTGGCGACCGCGAGCACGGGTTTGTGATGTCGCTTCAACACGCGCTGCACGATCCGGCTCAAGGGGGAGAAGTTTTGGGAGGCGGTCGCCTCCTTGCCACCTGCATTCTGAGGTGTGTTGCCGGTTATAGTTGTTGTCTTCTGGTCATTGGTGGGCAGGTTTGCTGAGCTGGGCCCGCCCGGGGGCGTAAGCGTGGTAATCTTCCCTGGGACACAGAGGACGAAACAATGCTCCAAAGACCAGACCAGCGCCACACAATCATCACTGCCAGAGCAGAGAAGACGGCCGTCGGGCGTGAAGGAGATACTGCGCACGAGGCCGCCATGGCCGTCTAAGATGACCTTTATGTCGCCCGTTTTAGCATCGTAGATGCGGACGTCGCGGGATGCCGTCGCAAGCAGTTCATTATTGGGGCTGAAGACCACGCAAGTAACAGGATAATTGTGGCTGTTGAGCAGTCGGTGGTTGGGTGTGACCTGAAAAGAAGCAGCGTCGGCCAGACTTTGTTTGTGTCAGTGCCGCCGCCGGGCACGCAACACAATATCTATGCATAAATCTTGTTCAGCGAAACCATTTGTCCTGTGCGGACTGCCTTCAAAGACAGAAAGGCTGGACTCACCATGCTCAAAGAACCCTTCTCTGTAGTTCTGCCTTGTGGTTGAGGTGACCCTTGCGAATCCTGTCTCCGGGGAGCCCTTGATTCCAGCCATTTCTGTGGCAAATGCACGTAATGGACAGTTGCTTATAGCTGCTTTGGTTAACAGTGCAAACAGTCTAGCATACAATCTACAGTTAGAAAACAGTGCTTATATCGTTTTCCGTATGCAACTTCAGTGCTAAGCAGGCTCAGGTCCCCTGTGGACAACTATTACAGCGCGCCAGCTAGGACGCGCCTCCGCCTACCTGGTCATACTCGCTCCCAAGTATTGCAATTCAAATTCCTATGCTTTCGCACCTGGATTTGCTGCTCGCGCTGCTCCTGGGCCCTGGTCTTGGACTTGAAGCTGCTTGAAGCCTCAGCGTGCGTGCCCGCACGACTTGCTCTGGCTGCCTCTTCTGTTTGGTCTTGCGACATTGTGATGGTGACGGTAATCAATTAGGGGTTGCTAGGCAAAATGAACGGATCCGCAGACGAAGCGTGCGCAATAAAATGCTCTAATGAAGATGCATATAATGTATACCTTCCTACTGTGAAGGTAATATACAATATTGCAGAGGCCAACCATTTGTACTTGTCTGTGCAACGCACGTCCTTGGAATATCGGCTAGCAGTAAAACCACAGGACTTGCAAACCCCCAAAACTCAACGATATTAGACGCGATAATTACAAAATGATATCCGCTCTTCTATTACGTGTCCCATTTCTTCGGCGCAACATAGAAACCCACATTTCCTTAACCTACTGCCGCGGGCAACAGCCCACGATCGCACGATGCCGTTACAAAACCAATTACAGACGGCCAACGGGACACATAACTGTCAGTTGTGGAAGTTCCAATACATAGAAACGGAAAAAACCGAGTCGTGGGCCCCACCTCGACTCACCTCGCCCCATGGGTCACGAACTGCGATCACCTCCAAGGCGCCTCATCAAGGTCTTTCGCAATCCTTTCGTACACATTCGCCTCATTGACCCAAGTACTTTCAGCCGCTGGCCGAAGCTGCCCCGTCTCGACTCTATATCCGCCCCTTCCCTTCACCAACACCTGGCTTCCATTTTCCACATGCACCTTCCAATTTCTCCGTAGTCGTACTTCAGCAGTTCGTAACCATTGCTGCACAACTAAAGCTCCGCTAGCGCTGCATCCCCCCTGTCCTCCCCTCTTAGATATTCACAGATATTTTACAGCTTTAACCGCGTCTCAGAGAGTTAAGAAATCCAAATGGGCAGCCTGGGGCGTTCTCATGCACTCGACCCGAGGAGGTCTCTTGGCATCCTGGTGATGCTAGGTAGGTCCATTGTCGGCCACCTCGGTCTCTCTCTCCCTCTCTCTCTTTATTTCTCTTTATCTCCCTCTTTATTTCCTTTATCTCCCTCTTTATTTCTCTTTCTTCCCCCTGTGCGAGGCACAAGCGCTAGGATAGGTAGTTTGGCTGCTTTTTGTGCATGTGCCTGATGCCTGCTTAGTGCACACATATCAGGTGCCTGTCTGTTCAAGTCCCACGGCAATACTCCTCCACAGTAATATCACCCCCCTCCCCCGTACCCACCGCACCTCCAGCCCCAGCTTGCATGGCTAGGGGTATAGATTGTCCTGGTAGTTTCTCTATTCATACCTTCCAAGCGAAACTAGTAAAGACGCCAGCTTGTGTGTAGTCTTTGTCCCACAGTTGGTTGGTCTGTCAGCTGGTTGGTTGGCTCTTTCATGTTTCCGGCCTTTTAGGGCAAGGAGAGGTCATATAGCAAGGCCCCGGCTCCCAACGCCAGCAGCAAGCTTGCAGAAGCCAATGAACGGTGACCTTGTCGGCGGTCAGGTCACCATCGTTTCTTTCCAACCCAACATGTATTGAACAGTATACGGAAAGGGCCAGCGCCGTTCTCACCAAGCCGCTCCTGCCTGATCCTGAGCGTCCACGGTGGGATGATGTCCGGAAATCACCTCTACCTCTACCTCCGCCTCCGCCTCCTCGTGCCATCGTTGGCGAATTTGTCAAGGTTTCCGATAAACTCAGACATAGCACTATCACGCCAAGCCAAGGTCGGACTGCCGTATTATCATTTATACACGGATGACTTCGGAAAGGAGTTGCTCTTAATCCGCTCTCACCTACCTCATAAACTGCCGTACCGTCCTGCCGTCCTCCTTATTCCCCCCACTCTTTAATTCGGCGATGATGGACTGGACTGGTGCTCGGACAGGGGCCTGTGGGTCGTTGTTGCTGCTGGCGGTTTCGGAGCTTACCGCCGGAGCTGATGCCAACTCGCTCCATGCCCTGCCCCTCCCGGGCGGCATCGGGTCCCGCCGCACGCTGTTGCAGGCCGACACGACGGTGCCGCCGCCGGAAACGGCAAAGCCGGCGGCGGTTCCCCCAGCATTGGCGAAGACGGCGGCGGTCCCCCCAGCAACGGCGAAGACGGCGGCGGTCCCCCCAGCAACGGCGAAACCGGCGGTGGTGCCGCCGGAAACGGCGAAGCCGGCGGTGGTGCTCCCACCTGCTGCTGCTGCTAAGCCAGCGCCTGGGGCAGCCGTAGCGGCGACGCCTGCTGCGGCAAACCCTGCGGCTCTGAGGGCGGCCCCGGTGAGCCCCGTGGTGACCGCTCCGGAACCGGCAGTGACCTCTCCAGGGATGGTGGATATCCCCCCGGGTCCGCAGGTACCGGCTGGAGAGCCCAACGCGGTAAGGGGGCAGGGGCGGGGGGGAGATTGTCAAGGATAAAAATTGGAGAACTTGGAGAACACATCGACTGGGAATGGATTGTTTCGGGGTTGAAAGGGGGGAAGATTAGATTCGGGGGTTGGGAAGGAGCTGATGCTGATCGCTGCTGGGCCATTCCGGGCCAGGGCGTGCTGGGTGAACTGGCTTAGAGGGGCAGGCAAGGGTTGCAGGGGAGGGCAGGGCAGGGGAGAAGAAGGGGCTGTTTGTTTTCCATCCCAACAAAACCCTTTTCCTCCTAGAAGCTTCTACACTGCTTAACATCCAAATGCTCATCCGCGCTCATGTGCCGTACACAGACTGACATTGTCGAGGAGGCCGTCAACAAGACCGTTGTCGTTCCGCCTGTGCCGGTCAGCACCATCTTCGCGCCAACCGTGAGTGGTCAATCATTTGAAAATTTAAATTAGCTTTGACTGACAGATGCACGTAGCGGTTATGAGTGGACTAGTGGATGCAACCTATGAGTTCCTTACCCATCCATCATTCGTAAATCGGCAGCTTCGCTGCCATGCGCGCCCCCGCGCCGCACCACCACACACTCGTGCACGAGCCCTTCACCCCTCCTTCACTCGCTCTTCCATCAGGTATCATACAATGCAATTATCGGTTGAGCGCATATTATATGAGATGTCCGAGCGACTTACATGAAAGTGGCCCTGCTGAGGCATTCTTGGAGTGGAGGAATAAAAGCTAAAAGGAGTCAGATGATGCAATTACCATTTACTTTAAGAAGTCATATACAGAGTGTAATAAAGTAATGTGTTAAAAGTGTAAAGTAATAAAGTAAAGTGTTAAAAGAAAATCAAATAAGGTGAAATAAAGTAATACAAAAACAAAGCACGTAAGTGATGCACCCACCATCGTGGCCAAACGCACACAGGATGCGGCCTTCGAGGAACTCGCCACCGCCCTCAATCTGACCACCCCGCTGGACCTCTTCAACACAACTTTCAACGAAACAATTGCCAACATCACAGCGCTGCATGTCGTTCCAGGTAACGCGAATGGCGGGATGCGTGGGAGGGTATCTCATGACACATGTGTGGAGGTGTTTCTGTGTGTGTGGGGGGGGGGAGGAGGGGAAGGGGGTGTTGTGTTGTATTGAAGCGAGCTGCACGTGTGCTGCGTGCGGTCCATAGGCGGACTGATAGAATGGAGGGGTAGATGGATGGACGGATGGATAGGTGTTTGCCTCCCCCCCCCCCTCGAGCTGGTGGGGGTTGGGCGGGCAAGGCAAGATGGCAAGGGAAAAAAATCTGGCGCGCGTGTGCGCCGGGCGAGAGAACACTTCGTGCGTACGCCACACGGAGTGCCGTACTTCATCACAAGGATGTAATTACTTTGAAACCCAGATGCGATGTCAGGGAGTGGGGGTGCTGTTCGCCCATCACTATTTCTATTTCGACGTACTTGTTGTTAATGGCCGCCATACGAGCCGCCGCCCGCGTTTTCCCCCTCTGCTCCGCTTCGTGAGCATTCCCGATGTCCACACAACATCCATACGGGAGCTCCGTACGACCGTACGAACTGCCGCCTGGCCTGGACATGCATACAGGTCTGGAAGTCACCTCTGCCAACCTAACGGTCACTCCCACGATAACGGTACCCTCGCTACTGGGCTACAACATCACCGTCACCCGGGAGCCGTGAGTACGGGCTGTGTATGGCGTTGTAGTGCAGCTGCCGTACGACATGTTAAAGTGGTTGGTCATTCAGTTGGTTTTGCTAACTCTTTGGATGCTTGGCCACTCACCAATCAGCTTCTGTAGTGCAGTGCAATGCAAAGAATTTTTGCGTGGTGAAGTGGTACGACGCGCACGTGCCATGTGCAATTTCCCCCCCGT